CCTCATGCATTTGTTATGAAGGAAAAGGCTTTAGGACAGAAGTCCTAAGAGTGTATCTTTCAAAGACAGTCTCCATCACTGAGTGTGTCTTCTGAAAGAACACCTTCTCTGGGCTTATGTACAAACAACCCACAGGATGAACCATGGAAATAACAGGAGACACACGGTGTTACAGCTTCCCATTCTGCCCCAGAAAAATCCCGATATATGCTATAGTTGAGAACCACTGCTTCTGAAGCTTGTTGTGCATATATACTGAATGTGTAGTTTTTGAAGGCTGATAGTGGTGGCTTTGATTGGATTTCATTATCAGCTCAGTAAATAACCCATTTCAGCCATAAGGATTCAAGTAAAGTAGTAAGAATGGAAGATTCCACAAAAATTTCATGCTTTTTAGGCAACTATAGGGTTAGACTGAAGTTATGAGCAGTAAGGACACCATTTCTCTGACTCTTTGCCTCTGTGTTATTGAAAGGTCTTTGGCTGTACAGAGGCTAGTCATCCGCTCAGCGGGCACTGCTGCATGTATACAGCTCTATGTATGTATGTATCTATGTATCTGGCTCATTCTCCAAAGGAAAGCATGTCTGAAGGAGCTGTACTGCTCTGTCAGGTGTGACCAATGCTTCTGTCATCCAGAAGCCCAAATGTTGCTAAAACCATAATATCTCCAGATCCACTGAAAATTCTTTGTTCTACCTTAAATTTGTCGTAGAAGAGTCCACAAAACAAGGACTTAACTCTCCATTGTTTTATGTAAGATTCTGGCAGAGTTTCTTTCAGTTTTTACTCGCAAGCCCTGATCACACACTGGGGTGAGGAGGGCAGTGCTATGGGGGAGGTGAATTGCTGGCCAGTGCTACCTAGAGCTTGCAAATGTCTCCTCCCTCAGACAACAAGCTTCAAACTAAGCCATGCTTCCTGGGCCAACTGTATGGCTACTGACAGGAGTCCTCCTCAGGAGATGCCCACCTCTCAAGCAAATACATCTGTGTGTAGCCCTCCTCCCAAAGTGGACTAAGAAACACCAGGAGGGCAGAATACCAGCAGCGGCCCTGGCTGGAGAGTATCTGGACGCCTCCCGCCCTTCCTCTCCGTAGCCTATTATTGTTGTTGCTTTTTGTTTTCTACTTTTTTTTTTGCTATAAAACCAAGAACCTTCTAGTGAAACAACCATAGAAGAAAATACTAAGCAAAAAAAAAAATACTTTTCTATAATATTTTAAAAAGAGCAAATACAATTCAGAGCGAGACTAGACAGATTTCATTGAAAGCTTAAAATGGCTTGATGCCTTTGAAGTTGAACTGCTGCTAAATTTAATGCAGACTTTACCAGACCAATGCTGAAAATCTGCCCCGCTAGTGTTTTCTCCGCAGTCAGAGTGCTCCTCAGAGTCCTGCAGAGAAGACTGTGGCCGGGTGCCCTCTGCTGCAGGAGGACATTGCTCTCTTCCCCAGCCCTCCTCACCTGCCCCAAAACACACTCTCTCGGACCTGGTCATGTGTGGACAAAACTGACTTTAAAACTAAAAACATAGCAGCTGTGTAAGATATACTTAAGCACTTACATTTAAGAAGGAATTTAGGTTCAGCTCCAGGCTCTCTGTAGTGTTTGTTAGTCAGTGCAAACAGCGAATTAGACACACGGCATTTGCTGGTTTGCCCACGAGACCAGCCTGAGGTGACTGCTTGGGAAGTTGGTTCACAGGCCCACGGTTTCCTTCTGCACCTCTCAGTCTGCAATAGTTGTCATGTGGGACCATAAGCCTTCCCAGGGCTTTTGTGTCTTGTGAGCTTACAAAGTTGAAGCCAACGGAGATCTGGAGACTGTTCAGCTCTTAAATACACCCATTGGCTCTGTGTTGTGTGTCTCTGGCAGTGGACAGGTTCAGGGTTGAAGAGGAGTGAAGGGCTTGATTCATGGAAACTCCCTTGCTTGTAACATGAAGTTTTTTTTTCCTCAGTTGAATAGAGACAATGTATTTGTCTTCAGACAAAAACAATTGCATTCCTGCATCCTGCTCATGTGTTCACAGGCCTTCTACTTCTTTAACATGACTGCTCTGTAGAGTCAGATGTTGCCTGTGAATCTGAAGAGGAGGCTTTGAGTAATTGCTGGATGGTGATAGGGAAGGACATTGTTTTGCAGGGACTGTGGTGTGGATGAGGCTGCCAAGGCTAGAAGCACCAAAGATGTTGACACATGGCTGAGGAGGACCTGAGGGTAACTGGATCTGGTGAATGCCTGTGGCTCTTTCAAGACCTCCATTTCCTCTTGTCTGACTTTGGGCCCAGTGATGTTTTAAGCAACTCTTCAGATACTGTAACTTTAGAGACTCAAGCGGATGTTTCACAAGGCTGAGCTATGTTGTGCCCATAGGCCATGAATCAGGGCCTTGGGTTGACTTCATTTCTTTCTATTTTTTCCAGTTACCTTCACCTAAGAATTGTCCATATTGACACTGCAGATACAGTTGTAGATATTGACGTAGGTATAGATAGACATATGGTGAGGGCATCAAATCCAGGACTTCAACCATTCCTGAAAGGCTCTGTACTGCCGAGCTACAGCCCAGTCCTATTATGGTTATCTTTTAGGAATATAAGTCTGATTTCTGGCTTGGAAACATCCATTGGCCTCATTCCTCATGTAAAAAGAAGAAACCCATGCAGCTTCCTGGGATCTGCTTCGAATCTCCTCTTCTTTCCTCTCCATCTCACTCACATCTCTCTGTCCAAGCTGCGCTTAAGTATGTGGACCCCCTCCAGCACTCTTAGCTTTCTCTCATCTTCAGATCTTTGCTTGTGCTGCTTCCTGTGCTCAGAACACTTCTGCAGCTCTTCCCGCCTCTTCATTCCCTTTGTTATCCGTGGTCTTAGTTATGCTGTTGCATCCTGCAGACATCCTTTCCTACCATCATCTTCTGCCATCTTCCCATCTCATCCCCCATGACATCATTCTTGCTTGCACACTTAGAGACAGGTACCACATTGTGTTTAATCATTTCCTCATCTCTCCCCTGCTGTATGCTATAATCTTAAACCACAAAAGTGGCTTCCTATTCATTTTTGAGTTCTGACAGTTGGGTAGGCACTCAACACATACTATTAGAGGCAAGTTGCCAATTTGGACTTTTCAGCTCAATATGTATGATAGATATGTGGGTTTGAGCATGGCATCCCACTGCTGCCCACTTTAGACATGGCTATGCCATGTTCACTCACTTATCACTCACTCATGCATGTGGAACAAACCCTATAGGAATCACATTAAGACTATGGGACATATCAGCGTTAGGACTCTGAGTTCAATAACCAATTGTATGTAAAGCATATGCAGACCAGGATAGTCTCTCAATTTGGTAGACTTGGCACTCTAAAATTATTTTAAGAGTCAGACATGGGCAGGCTGATATTTGATACAGCAAACAAGTATGCTCTGAGGGACAAAATAAAGCTCTCTTTGAGCGTTAAGCATCTTCTTTGTGTTTGGTCTTAGATGACAACGTAGCTGACCACCTTTTCATATCCCCATCCTCTATAGAACCAGAATGCTGCTGTGCCAAGAGGAGCTCAAGAACTCCTACCTCAGTGGGAGGAAGTGTCCCACTTGTCTTTAGTTCTAACTAGATAGGCAGCTGTGACCGGAAGGAACGTTTGACCCGGAAGCCTAGGGAACACAAGGAGCACCTCTTCTAAAAAAGAGGGTGAAGCTTCACATGATTCCAAACAAACAAACAAACAAACAAACAAATAAACAAACAAAGGCACCATTCTTGTGGCACCAGATCCAAATTACCAGTTTCTGGCCAACAATTCTCTGAACAACTCATTTATTGAACATACAGAAGTTCAGTATTCTGAGTGCATTACTAAGATTTTTAAAAAACTGGTTATTTTAAACAGGGAGGTGGATATTTATTCTTCTCTTTCAAGGTTACCATGCATCGAGGTCTTCATTGCTCTTCATGCATTAGGCGGGCCTTTCTTTTTTCTTTCCTTTTGAGGTAAGTTTTCACCATGCCCGTGGACAACTGCTGAGCCCAGGGCTGGGGATGATGAATTTCTTTCAAGTTCTCAAGGGGATATCTGGCCCTTCCTGCACTCAGCCAGGGGGTGGGGCCTTACCATTGCCATACCTTGCTGACCAAAGCTGGGTCAGAGTGCCTATGGTGACAGAGGACTGCCTGAGGCAAATGGCCATCCCACCCTGTGGGGAACCAGCTTTCAGGACTTTCAGATGTCACAAGAACTCCCCCATGCTTTCTTCTCTTTTTAAAATAGAAATGTCACAAGCAAGTCAAGTGCGTGGGATGGATAAAAGTAGAGCTTCTGTGGCTGAAGGCAGGACAATGGGAGGGGAGTGGGGACAAACTTCACTAGTCCCAGCCCTCAGCTCCCATGAGTCCTGCAGGAGCCAGAGCACAGCCCCTCCCTTCCTGGCGCTGCTTGGACTCCGAGTCGAGGAACGGCTCTTACGGCTGGACATTGCTAAAGCATTGTTCTTTCTAGAGAGAGCCTTTTTTCACACACCTCACTTTCAGGAATCCTTGCAGTTATTACTATTTTAAGTATAATACATTTCATTTTTTTGAGAATTTCATACATGTGTAGAATGTATTTTGATCATATCCTGCATTATTTTTTTTCTAGGCATTACTTTTCTTTTTATGGAAAGCATGGCTGATGCCTCTTTTCTCATTGGCCACTAGAGAACCCTGAGCAGGTTTTGTAGGTCTCCTGGGACAGTTCCTCAGGATTGCCCTCCACATATTTTATGAACTGTAGAAACCACATCAGAGATCCTGGTAAATTTTGTACCTTATTTCGCTTTCTCTCTGATTTTTCACATTATTTTACTGGATGTTCTGTGTTACCTATGTGTGCACACTATCTAAAAATCCTTCTGGGATAAACTAGGATAAAAACCAGCACACGAATGTGTATATTCTAGAAAACCAAGCAGATAGCCTCAGCAACCACCATGTGGCAACGCTTACCTCATTGGGGTGGAATCCATCCACGGGTTCAATAAGCTGCCACGGCTGGCCGCCTCTTCTCTGCCACTCCTCTATGACTAAAGAACACACAATTGGAGGGTTACAGTTAAGTCTCAGGATGCCAAGGACAAGGAGCTCATGTGACATCATCCAGTCTCCCCTGCTCTTTTTTTAAATTCTTCTGTGTATATTCTGTGTATAATTTGTCTGCATGCCTATCAATCTGCTGTCTGTGTACTTGGTGCCCATGGAGACTAGAAGAGGGCATCAGATCCCTGGGTTGCAAATGGTGCTGAGTTGCCATGTGGGTGCTGGGAATTGAATCCTGGTCTTCTGGAAGAACAACCAGCGCTCTTAATCACTGAGCCATCTTTTCAGGCCCCTAGCTCTTATTTTATCTCATCATGGCTTCCCTGAGCTGTTGCCTTGGGCTGGGAGTTTTCTGAATAACAATGATCTACCCATTGTGTGATTTTTTTTTTTCTAACTTAGAAAGAGCATGTGGGAAAGTGCTGGGTGAATGTGGCTTGTGTGGCAGGGAGGGCAGGGGAAATGAAGTGAGCGCTAAAATGTTAAAATGTGCAGCAGCAGTTTAGGTCCATCTGATCTTTTCCTCACGTGGTGGGACAGGCCTTTCTGCAGAAGTGAAGATGACATTTTGCTAATATCTCTTTTCACGTGCTGCCATTTGCAGACACTGCCTACGTATGTCAAGCAATCACCTCGAACAATCATACTGCGTGTCAGAAATATAATTGCATAAAATTATCTCAACACTGCATTTAGAGAGAGCATGGCTACAGAGAAAATATTATGAGCCCCAAAGTGATGAAAAGTAATAAAACTGTCCTTCAACAGGGATAAGAGACTATGCATGTCAGTTCCTCTAAGGCAGCAGTGCAATTAATTCTATGTTGTAATATCACAAAGCCAATAAGAATTTCTCACAGAAATTGCAGTCCCTAGAGAGCTTTCAGAGAGAACCATCTGAGACTTCTGCTCCTGGCAGAACACCTCACTTTCCTGGAATTCATCGAAACCTGCAGTGTAGCTACGATTCCAGTTGTGCTTTTCAGTCCTTTCTCCAGGTCTCCCAACCTCAAGGCCAGAGGACTGTGTCCTTTCCTTCTCCTTCCCCGGGGAAGGATGGAGACACTGTCTGGTGAAGTCCCTGGCATGAGACTGAATCAATGCTCTGTTGCTTTTGTAATTACTGCGGAGATGCCAGCCTCTCCTACTGTCCAACCCTCCTTGTCTCTGAGGTGGCAAATAATGTTCCCCCTGTCAGAGTTCAGGGGGGAAGTGTCATGCTGATGTTCCCCTTAGCTTATTCCTGAGCAGTGTGATACTAGGTGGCTCTTTTTCTTTTTTCTTTGTTTTAGAGGCAGGGTCTTATATAGCTTGGGTTGGTCTCATTCTTGCTAGGTCTCCAAGGACGGCCTCGAACTCCTGGCCCTCCTGCCCCTACATCCAGAACACTAGTGTTATAGGCGTGTACCAGCACGCCCAGCTCCTCTGACTCTTTTATAGTGCTCTCCTGGGTTGTATTGGTAGTTGTTAGAAGCTGCTAGTGGTAAGCAGTGTTTGCACTTATTGTAAGACTCTAAATGAGTCATCTGCTGTGCCATTGTGTCATGGAGTGTTCCCCATCCAGAACCTCAAATTGCTTTATGCAGATAGAGGAGGGTTCTTCTCCCTCCCACCCCCCAGGACTGGTGTGGATTTGTCCTTTTAATGGAAAGCTAAGAGCTTCGCTGATAAGGAAGCCACACTCACTCTTATGAAGAAAGCCCAGGTGGTTCTTCTAAACAAGATTGCCCCCCTCAACCGTTTGCTTCCTCCATTTGGCCGCAGTATCCTGTGAAAGGAGTGGCTCCAGGAAGATGCCCTCTCGACATTTCTAGTTGCCTGTTCTGCCATTTTTGGGGGGCACAACCTTGGAATCAGGCTTTCTGTTTTAGGTTCAATTCCAACTGCTCTAAATTCCTTTGCGTGTCATGCTGAGGCTCCTGTGGGCTCCAGGTCCCCTTCCCAACCACAGGACTGGCTCTGCCTGCTCAGGGATGCTCAAGCCCATGCCTCCCTCTGCCTGCTCATCTGCTGTGCAATTCATTCAGGCACGCTTCAGGCTCTTCACTTTCCTCTTGTCCAGTAGAAGATGAGCCAGTTTTCTCTCCTTTCCTGGGACTTGCTTTTCAATTTTCTAGCTTTATGTTAATTGTCTATCAAACCCACCTCCAGTCTGAATATCCAACAAGTTACTTGCAATGAAGAGCCAGGAATTTGAGGAGTTTCTGTAAATGCAGAGCTGAGGTCACCCCTATGTACCCTTGGGTGCTCTTTATATTTCTATGGTACCCATCTTCTCTTGTCTTTCACTCCCATGGTGGTCTCTAACATAGAAATTGACAAGGATGGGGTGGGACAGGGATTTCACTTAGGACAGACATCAGCCTCTAGTCTTTGAGACCTCAGAGGTGACACTGCTCCCATTCCCTATGTACCTTTCACTTTACTCATGTTGCTGTGACTTCCTTTAGATCCAGTTCACTTTCTGCTGTGCAGATGTTTACAGAAGAAAGAATAAAGACAATTCCCAACAGGATGGTGGATGGACTGATGTTGGGGTCTTTCTCAAGTTCATACACTAGGAGACTAACACTGCTGTAACTGATGGTGATAACAAATGGAGCCTTTGGTACCTAGCTAGATCATGAAGTAAAGCCCTCATGAATGGAATTAGTGCCTTAATAAAAGGGGTCCCAGAAAGCTTTGCCATGTGACAGTCTAAAACCCTCTGGCTGTCACCAAAACCCAACTATGTAAGCACCATGATGTTGGATTTATCTAGGACTGGATAAATAAAACTCTGTTGTTTCTGGGCCACTCAGGCTATGGTACTTTAATATAGTAGCCCAAGATGACTAATAGATGGTCAGAAATCCCTAGGTAGTGTTCATAAGACCAGGCTGATAACTGATCTCAATCAAGACCTCAAATACAGCATTACAAGAGATGGATAAGGAAAGTTACAAGTCAGAGGCCTTTGGTATTAAGCAGATACATAGTGAGTTGCAGACTTGACCCAGATCTCCATGGCTTCTCTTGTGTTCTGGGGAAGGAAGCCTCACAAAGGACCTTTTGACTCTCCATATTTGCAGAGAAGATTGAGTGACAAGTTCAGCCAAGATGCACTCCTCCACCCACTACTACGTACAATTGGTATATACTAGTGAAAATATTTGACACAGAATGACACCATGTAACTAAAACTAATGAGACTAATTTTAGTGCAGTTTGTAAACCAGCTCTGAAAATAATGTCAACAGCTGACATACGAGTCCTTCATATCTCCTTTTTAATAAGTGTTATTAATGAGTAATTCATGTATAATAAATCATATGTGTTTCCAGTGAAAACAAAAACAACAAAATTTGTGCCTTCAGTGGTCAGAAGAAAATCTGTTAAAGTATTGCAGTGATTGGGAGGTGAGGACATTTCACAGTGGAAGGTAAATGTGAGTTTGTTAAAAATGGTTTAGTCAAGCTAGAGCTCCTTGAGGGAGCCATCGTTAGGATTCCTGCATTAAAGAGGTCAGAGTCGCTTATGCAGGAGTTTCTTCCAGTGTGATTCACCTTTGACTCCATGGATTAAAGTTGTTCTAAAATATTTTCACTCTAATTTGAATTTTATGTGCATCAGTAACTGCCAAACTAAAATCTGTGGCCCTCAGAGGAATGGGGAGATTATGATGTATCTCTTCACAGAACAGACATAAAATTCAATCAGCAGAATTGGTGAGCATTTTCAAAATGAAAAGAAATGGTCATTTCCTCTTATTCTCTTTGGAGGCTACGCAATCCTACCCTTGTGGGAATTATGAAAGGGAAACACAGCAGTGGACTATACAGCAAAGGGAGGGGGATACTTACTTGCTAAGTTTTGCCATGAAACATGGATGTGTTGTAGGGAGGAAGGGGCTGTTTCTTCTTGAGGTGTGGCAGGGAGGGTACTGGAGCCCAGTGACCCTCTACATAGGACAGGGGCTTTAGCATTGAGGTGCTACCCAGCCAGGGGCTTCTTCCCATTACCACCATACTCAGACAATTCTAAATACTATCAATAATAATAATCTATTCCTCCCTGTTGGGAAGCGTATCTATGCTTCCAAACTATCTCAACTCTGCATCATAGTAGACTACACTGGCAGAATCCAGCCTTCAGAATAGCTGGTTTTCCATATGAGATAATAGTTAATATTTTAAAAAAACATGACACAGAGTTACCAAATATACAATACACAGGGAAAACATTTTTTTCTCACACAATTATTGTGCTTTCAAAGGTACTGGTTACCACGCAGAAGTAGCCATCAGGACTAAAAATTTAAGGGTGGGTAACTCACAGGCAAGACTCCAGGTTTTATTTGTACCTTGACTATTACCAGATGGAATGATTCTTTGTGGTAGTTTTAAGAGAAAATTCTATGTTTTCAGGAGAAAGGCAACAGCAGACATGGCATTTATTTTTTCCTCAAGAAGGAAGCACAATCAAAGACAACATGGCAGATTCGTTTTTACCGTTTGTTCTTGTGTGTGTTTATGGATGGACATCCACATGTTCGTATGTGTGTGAATGCATAGGCGTGCAGACGTGTGTGTGTGTGTGTGTGTGTGTGTGTGTGTGTGTGTGTGTGTGCACGCTAGAGGTAGATGGTGAGCTTTTTCCTCAGTTGCTTGATACATTAGTTTTTGAGACAAGATTTCTCACTGAACCTGGAGCTCATCAATTTGTCCGGCAAAAAAGCTTCAGGGATCTGCTCAGTGGTGGGATTACAGACATGTGCCATTGTACTCTATTTCTATGTGGGTGCTAGGGATCTGAACTCAGCTCCTCATGCTTGTGTGGCAGGCACTTTACCAACACAGCCGTCTCCCCAGGACCTTCTATTTGTGTTTTGGAAGAACTGAATTAAGCTTCTTGAATGATCATGGAACATCTGTTGGGATTTGGTGCATACTATATTTTCTTTATCTGTAAGTCAGAAAAATTCCACTCACGGACATCTTTTCAAAGAGCCACAGTAGCAGTGGAGAAAGATTTATAGGGCATGTGGTAGCTCTTGCTGTGATGAATAGCAAAACTAGCAGATATTTAAAATAGAAATTTGCATTCTGATCAGCACCATGAGGTCACTGGCTGCTTTTGCAGATGTACAGAGGAGGGAATGAGAGCCTGAGTTTACTACAGCTGGGCTGTCTTGGAAGCCAAGGGCAGCAGGAGGTATGTTAAAATGTCAATGTGAAAATGGTCTTATCAGTCAAGACACACTGGGGAGGTGGGGTAGAAAGGAAAAGGATGTCACATGCTCAAGTTGACATGTCTTGGAGGCAAATTTTTTACTTCTGCTTGGTTCATAAGCAGTTGGAGGATGAGTCAGCAAAAGGCAAACGACAGAATCATCACCTTTCAGGGCTGGACCCAGGCTGTCAGAGTGGAGAGCAAATAGGTCTTGTGCCTACCTTCAAGTGACAGGGATGCTCAGCTATGATTTCCTCTGTCACAAGGATATGAAATTGTGAATTTCAGTGTGATGAAAAAGGAGGACACGTGTGGTGTGGCAGTCAGCTCTAATACAGTGTGGAAACTAGGGCAGTTTTCACAGGACTCCAGACTGCAAATTTAATAAATGCCTCTACTGGCTTTTTATTTCTGATGAAAGGAGACCTGGGGGATAATGGGCTGCATTTATACCGTATCTTCCTCAGGGAACTTGAGAAAATAGTCCTTTAGGTATGAGTGATGATGAGAAGTGCTTGCACTAGGAGAGAGAACACTTATGTGGAAGAATATAGGGTGTGCTTTACACATGATGACGATGAGCCGGCGGATGATGCCAACGAATGGTTTTCCAGTCCTTGCTATTTTACAATCCTGTGATCTGTGTCTGAACTGAGATAAGAACGTGCTTATAAATTCTGGGCTCTTTCTCCAATAGCAAGTTATAAGCACTAGGGACATATTTCCAGGGTAATATGCTGCCATGATTTCTAAGATGGGAGGTTACCCCCAGAGATGGATCTGAAGTGAATGATCATTCTACCTACTATGATAAATGCTAGGATTTCAAGTTTAAAATTTCTTAACTTGGCCACAAGTCAAGATATTATAATAGTCCCTGAAAAGGAGATACAAATTCTGGCCCTTTCAGAAGTAGACATGGTACTATATAGCCATTAAGTGTTATATGAGGCATTCATCCAGAAAGGTCCCAGAATACCATCCTCTGCCTCCACTCTCCTTTTTTATGTCCATGTGTCTTCCCTGCTTGGGTGCTCAATAACTTCAGATGGACAAGAGGAAGCTGGCAAAACTGGATATTCACACTTGCTTTTAAAAAATGGTAGAGGAATTATGAAACAGGAAATTTCTCTCATTGTTGATAGGAATTCCAAGCAAAGGACTTAATACTTAGATGTGGAAGATGGTTGGTGGAGGAGACAATTTTCTTCAGTGGTGTAGCCGTTGGTAAGGTGCATATGTTCCTGTAAACAAATTCCCACACAAGCACCCTGTAAATAACCCTGATGAAACTCACTGCGCCCTGCATAGACACAGAGACATGAAAGTCAAGGGGGGCTAGCTGGGAAGTGGAAGAGTATTAATGGGTGTGAGAAGAGGACAAGAGATGGTAGCAGGAGGTGAATATGATTGAAATATATTACATGCATGTTCAAAATGTCATAATGAAACAATTATTATGTATAATTAATATATGCCAATAAAAACACTTAAAAAGGAATCTCCACTTGGAGGTTTGGAACTGGAGAGGTTAGAGATACCCAGTGAATTGCCTGCAGCACGGGAGATAATGAATGACAGTTGTAGAAATCATTCTGGACAATAAAAAATGTCCCACATGGATGTTAGACATTATTAGATTTTTAATAACTTTACTCACATTCAAGGTTGGAAATGATCAAAGATCACTCAGTGGTGCATTTGTTTACATCAAGAATTCATTAATAAATCTTTAACTCTGCATTTTAATGAGAGGTTATTTATCAAAATGTCTCTCCCCATGAGAGAGATGTGTGTCATGTAGGCAGGAAATCTAGTAAAGACTGATCAATCTTGTTGAAAGGATGTTCAGAGCTGAAGTACTACAGCCTGCAATGCAAACCATGTCAGCTAATATAATATTCAGTAATTCATGATGGCCATCTGCTCCATTCCAGATGCCTGGGCTGGGGGGCTAGGGTTGAGGACAGAGATGAGAAATCTTCCCTCTGCTGCACATACCGAAGCATTTCATTAGCATCATCTCATCTGGCAGTCAGTCAACAGGGCCTTTTCTCATGCAGAAAAATCACTCAACAATGAAAATGAATCTTGAGTGGGCTACAAACAATAACTATTTTTTTTGAGAGTCAAGATGTAAAGGATAACTCAGTGGCTCCAGTCAGCAAGCCTGAGTTTGTGTTTCTACTTGTCAGTGACTCCCATGTTTAGACAGAATGCCATAAAAAAAGAAATATTCTTTCCAGAGAGTTGGGACACGGTTTACTTTTCAAAGGACCTTTTGTTGCCTCTCCCTAAGAGATTCTGCTTAGTTTCCGGTCCAGGCTTACTCTAGGTAGTCCAGGACGCTACGGCAGGAGCCATGGCCTCACTTTCCCTTCTGTCCACACAAAAGCAAGGCATTGCTAACTTGGCAAGAACTATCAGTGATCCCATTTGATTAGAGGCTTCCAGCCCCAACTCTCCCTAACTGGCTGCTGGTCCTGATGATTCAGAGACTCCAGAATGATGGTGAAGTGAGAAGGTGGCATTGGTCCTCAGCCTGTCAGACAACACCTCGTGCTTTATCGTTTCTCCATGCTGAGAGTCATCTTGTCAGCTAGGTAGGGGTGACCCTGCCTAGTCTGTTCCACGTCCTGTGTAACACAGCCCCACACTGCAGCTGCTGTGTGTGCCTATTGTCAAGACAAAAACCAAGTGACTTACTTTCGTGGAAGGCAAAATCCATGTAGAAAAGATGGAAGTTTGTGAACGTCTCGGTGGTTGCAATTTTTTTCAGTGTATTGGAGAGTTGCTCTGCTCTCTGAATACAAGAGAAACAGAGAATTCCATGAAATCTCAACTTTGACTTTCATGAGACAATTCAGCTAGAAAAAGAAATTGATCTTCCACACACCATTCCACTTTCCTATCTCCAAGCCATCAGCAGAAAACAGCTCTGCACATTAAAGTGTATTCATGTGCAAATGACCAATGGACATACGGAAAATGTTACTATTCATTAGGAGTCAAAGCAGTGTAAATTAAAGCAATAACATTCTACTTTTCCTGCATGAATTTGATGAAGATGAGCTGAACAACCTTGATAATATTGAATGTCAGGGTGAATGAACAAAAATGTAGGTTAGTTTCATGGTTCTAGACAGCAGCTTGGCAATACAGATTAAATCTTTAACATGACCAATATATCTTACAGGGGCTTGTATATAGGAAATAGAGATGCCACAAAACACACAACTTGTTATTCATCACGGTGAAACACTGGAAAGAACCATGTGTCCAACTGCACAAAAAGATGGAATAAATCCTGCCACATTCATATGTTGGAGAAACAATTTATGGACACTGGAATTTCTATGAGTATTCTCAATCTAGTAGGCAAAACGCAAGATACCTATGGAATTGAAAATAGACACTCACATACTGATACATAGATGATTTTTTTCTGTGCATGCACATGTGCACACATGTGTGTAGATATGTATTCAGATGTGTGTACATGTGTATAGATGCCAGAGGCAAGCTTAGACATTACTGCTTAGGATCCATCTACCTTGGTATTGGAAACAAGGACTCTCATTGGCCTGGACTTGCTCATTTGGTTAGGTTGTCTGGCTAGTGAAGCCCAGGGATGCTCCTGACTCCACCTCCCTAGCACTGAGGTTACAACTGTGCCACTGCTTCCGCTTCCTCACTTGGGTGCTGGGGACTGAACTCAGGTCCTTATGATTATGTCACAAGCACTTCACTGACTGCTTGAGCTATCTCCCCAGCCTGAGTGTGTGTGTGTGTGTGTGTGTGTGTGTGTGTGTGTGTGTGTGTGTGTGTGCGCCATACACAGGCATTGAGGTCAGAGAAGAATGCTGAGTGGCTTACTCTGTCACTTTCTGACTTATTACCCATGACACAGGCTCTCTTATTGAACCTGGAGCTAGGCTGCCAGCCCCAGAGGTGATCTTGTCTCTGTTCCCTTCCGTACTGCAGTTACAGCCGTGTGTGCAGCCATGCCCAGCTTCTTACAGATGTGCTGGTGATTGAACTCAGGCTCTCACACTTGTACAGCAAAGGCTCTTAGCTGTCAATTCATCTTCCTGGCCCCAAAAGTTGTAGCTCAGTCCTCAAATGTGTTATCTCCTTGCCTCTCTGCCTCTTCAGCATAACCTCCCAGAGCACACTATCACAACTGACTATAGCCCAATTTTCATTGCTGTAGTTCTTAGATTTTCACACATTTCATGTTTTCAAAATTGAAATATATTTTTTATTTTTTTTATCTTACTGTGTATTTTTTAATTTGCAAGTTCTCTACAATAAAGTTTTATTAACAAAATATGCAGGTGGTGGGTCATGCCTGCAATCTCAGTACTTGAAAAATTGAGGCAAGAAAGGAAATTTCTGTGTTTTCAAAGCAAGCCTAGGCTACATAGTCAGGCTTGTCTTAAAAATAAACATCAAAAACTAAGTTTCATTAATTTTTATAAAGATAATTTACAACCTATGAACAAAGTATAAGATATTTTGCTTGGGAAACGGATTCTTTTAGACATGTGAGGTGATCCTCTCTGAGCACACAATCATACATAAGGCTTATCTTCCTCAGCTCCCCAGTTCACTGCCTCAGATCATTTTACAAACTGTGTGTGTATATGTGTTCATGCATGAGAAACATATGAACCCCTGGAGAAGGGTGGAGGCAGACAGGACACACAAGTCCTTTTTCCTTCTCTGGCTCCCTGATCATGTGATTTTGTTATTTGCAGGTTGGTGACCATTATGCTGTAGAATCCCATCCTGAGAGAAAGTCTGTAGCAAACAAGGGACAGAGAGCTCAACAGCTCTACCTGTGAAGTGAGAATCCGGAGGGTCTTGTTGGAAGACATCCAGCCATTACAGGGACTGACCTGAAGGAACATAAAGAGCCTTCTGATTAAAGAGGAATAGACATAGTAAGAGGTATGTGTACACATGTACTTGCATATGTGTGCATTCAAGTGTGTGTGTGTGTGTGTGTGTGTGTGTGTGTGTGTGTGTGTGTGTGTGTGTATGATGAGGTCCTGGAGCAGGTCTCTGGGCTTACCTGGAGGCAGCTCAGGAAGGAGAAGAAGCGTGCATAGGTCACGTCTTTATTTAGCTGGCCTAGAAAACACAGAGGTCTGATATGTCATATGGAATCAGATGGCAATGCTCAGAGACATTTGTAGATGATCCTACCTCCCTTTTAGATGATGGCATTTATCCTGAGTTGATTTGTCAGTCAGCATAGCCTTGAGGAATGCCTGTATTTTACTTCTGTCTGAGCCCAGGTTAGGAAGGGGCCTTAAGGAGTCTATGCCCAAGTGCTTTTAGTCTTGGGGAGGACAGGACTGGAGCGCTGGCCTGATCTAATCTCCAGAGGAAGATAGAGTCTCCTACAGCTTTAAATGGACCACAGTGACTTGAAAAAGCACATCACCAGGCAGCACCTTCTCCTTGGTAATGCCATGAAATTCCAAGTTTCCGTGAGGCTCAGAGAGTCCCGTTCAAGATGGGAATTGACTAAATCCTTCTTTCTGGGCTTATGAAACAGGTCTGAGCCAGTTGTTCCCCACTGAGGAACTGGCATGCAGAATGTCTGAAATTCTGAACAAAGTCCTTCAAATATGGCAGGGGTGGCCCCATCACTCTTGGGCGGGATGGGGATGTCAGCGGATTTTTGTCTGTCTTGATAACAATGGATTAAGAGTTTCTCTGGAGTTGTCTTACTGAGTCCTAGTTAGGAAATGTACCTCACAGTTATTTTTTTCACTCAGGTTAAAGAGGTCCATAAGAATGAAGGGGAAAGTGTTGCATGGGTTGTTATGGTTTGCACATCTATCCTATTCTGTGTCTGAAACACTCTTTCCCTAGCCCGTGACACTGTCTGAAGAGGTTCTGGAAACTAAGAGGCGGCCCTAGCTGGAGGAAGTAGATCACTGGGAATGTGTCTTCAAAGGTTATACCTGGTTCCCAGTTCCCCCCTTTCTGTCTGCTTCCTGTTAGCCATCAGGTAAAGAACCTCCCCCTTCACACACTCCCACTGCCATGGCATCTACAGAGGCACGTGGGACCAAGCACAGGGCACTGAATTTTCTGCATGATGAGCCCAAATAGACAAGTTTTCCTCCACACCATTTGTCTCGGGTATTATGTCACAGCGGTGAAAAGTCTAATGCCCTGGACTCTATCCAGAAGCCTTTGAAGCACTAACAACAGACACTGTGATATCTTCTCTCCCCCAGTGCCACCCCTCTCCCTCTTTACAGTCTATCCACCCCAGAAGCAGTCAGTTTTCATGCTGTGACTGACATACAAAATCCAGCTCCCCCACCAATCTCCAGGATGAGCAGCTGATGCTGTATCCATTAAACATGTCTCATGCTCTCGGAGATTAAAGAGGATAATAGAGGATTTTAGAGCATCTCAGAGTCAAGAGAAAGACTGCAGGTGATGGAACAGAGCACTGCTTTTCACCTGTACCTTAGGTAAGCGACACTGAAACATAGGTTTAACTTGCTCATCTTGGAGGGAACACACGGCCATCCCCCAGTGTGGTGAGGGAATGTCAGGTCTAGAAGGCCACAGGCGACTGCTGCCAGTAAAGTCAAGGCGTCTTCACATTTTAGATGGATTCCAAGCCACTGCCTTCTGTCTTGGCTTTCACTGCATGGGCTTGGCTTTGACCCTGAACCCCATCTTCCCTGAGGTTCCTACTTCTACTCACTGAGGATTCTCATTGGGGATTCTCGCTCAGTTTTCTCTTCCATTTCCCCCCTCATTTGCTCTTTTGCTGTATGTCTTTGTACATCTCAGCCCCGTTCAGCTCAGTTGCAGTGACAGATTCCTTTAACCCCATCCTGGGTCTTCCATGTGCCCCATGACTGAAGGCTTTGTAGCCTTCCTACTTCTACCTTATGTTCTCTGCTTTTTAAACCTCACTCTAACCCTGTCTTGGTCCTTGTTGGGATTAGGCTTCATAGAAGAATTGAGATAACTTGACTGGTACTAATGTGTATTCTCCTCTATCCCCTTATTCTGCTTAGTGGCTGAAGTCTCTTCAAACTAAGTGGAGGCTACCCACTGTGAGTCCCAATGCATCTCCCTCTCCCTCTTTCAAGCCTTGATTGCTTTGATATCCAGAAGAACTGAATTTTGTCCTGCTCCATGAGTACTGGGAACATCACTACTGGACACTCCTTTGGGGTGAAGCCCAGTCACAGCCTTGCTCCATTCTGCCTTGCTCTCCCCTTCCCCTATCCTGCCCAGATAACAACGTATCTCTGGATGAGGGCCCTTGGGTGTATCCCGTTTCACTGAGCCCAGTCTCTCTCCCTGTGCCTTCTATTGCCTACTGTTCCAACACTGGCTCTCTCTGAACCTGGTGGACAGAGGGATAGGTCTGATGAACAGGATGAAGTTTCTGTAATACAGTAGAAGATATTGGGAAATGCTAAGAAGTGTTTTTCTTCTATCTTGCATTTGCTAATTGGAAGGAAGGATGCCTCTGGGGCACTCAAGTAGAAGGGTAATTGGCAGTGCTTATGGTGGACTAACAGCCTAAAGGAAAGGGAGAGGAAATACAGCCTTTCCCTCTGCTGGCACTGACTCTTGATCATTTGCTTTTTAGCTGTTATTGTGATTTTTTTTAACCTATACCTGCCCCCCCCCCCCACCAAAGAGTGTAAAGAGGTTGTGTGTATCTGTAATTCCTGGTCAGAAAGACATCCTAGTTAATCAGTAGGGGTCTGAGGATGTAGCTTCGTAGTATAGTTAGAGCATGCGAGACTCTGGCTTTGATGGCAGCACCAAAAAGAAAAAAAATCCAGTGGTACTGTCCACAGTGACCAGTAATTATCAGGATCTGAAATTTTTTCTATGCTCGTGTGTGTGTGTGTGTGTGTGTGTGTGTGTGTGTGTGTGTGTGTGTGTGTGTGTGTTCACGAACCACTGGGTTGCTCCCATGGATGTCACTGGCTCTCTCTAAAGATAAAAGGGTAAGGTTCTACTCCAGATGGCTAAAAGACATAGTTTGTGTATTAGAAATTTGCAAATTCTTTAGGATAGTCTTTGCTATTTATTTATATTCACTTATCTATATCTAACTTTATTATATCTATCATATATATCTCCACCTACATATCCTCTCTCTCCTGTGTGTGTGTGTGTGTGTGTGTGTGTGTGTGTGTGTGAGAGAGAGAGAGAGAGAGAGAGAGAGAGAGAGAGAGAGAGAGAGAGAGAGAGAACGAACCTGGAGCTCACTGATTCCACAAGACTAGCCGTTAGTGAGTGAGCTCCAGAGCTCTTCCTGTGTCCGCTCCATTCCCCAGTGCTAGGGCTAGATGGATTTCTCTAATCAGCATTCCCCCTTCCTTCATTCTCAAGTTGCATGGTGTCATTATTATCTACTGTTGTCAAATCAAGTGTGCACGGCCAATTTGAAGGCATTTATGTAGCTGGTCTAGTCAGAGTTTATGGAAAGAAAATGGAATTTAAAACCAGAAGGCTTCAAATCATGTTACGCTGGTGTGATGGAGCAGACTGGAAGGACACTCCCGCTTCCCCAAGCTTCTCTTAGCATGAGCAATTCAGTGATCTAATGGAATTTGTTCGTCTTCACATCCCATGGCTCAAAGAGACTTCTCCAGCCCAAGTGGCTGTCCTTTAAACACACAAGGCAGTTCAGAAAGGAGTGAAGTTCTGTATGTTATCATATTTTTGTCTATAAAGATAAGAAGTTGTATGAAGAGGGAAGCTGTGCTCTCCTTAGGCAAGGCAGGGCACTGCTTTGCTTGGATACTATTTGTGGTACACTTTCACGGAGCAAATGACTTCATTTGAAATGGCTGAATGCAGATATCTGCTTTTTCCCCTCCAGGGAAGAAACTAGAGAGCTGGTCATGAATTCTTTTCTCATGTCAGTGGGGGTGGTTTCTCATGTGAATGGGAGTGGAATTTCTTCAGTGAGGTAGTGAAGTTGGCTTAATCAGGAAGTACAGGAGGAAAAAGAGGAGGAGGAGGAGGGGAAGAGGTGAGATCAAAAAACACATAGAAGTTTTGTACTCAAGGGAGAGCTCTGGCTCATGCTCAAAGTGGAGCGAGCCAGCCATGAACAGAAGATTTTACTAACTCATACACCTCGGCCTTGTACATTCCACAAAGGCTGTCATCCTTAAACTTCTTTCAGGTCCCAACCTCAGGTTACACTCTGAACAATTTAAGCAGAGATGGGAGACTGTAAATCTGGTCACTTGGGCAGATGGGAGATTTGCCAGCAAACATATTGGCAGAAGTATTTTTAAGTACATCAGTGTTGTTCCTTTTGAATAACTGTCACCCAGGTTTGTCTTGCCCACCTGGCAGAATTATGCTTTCCTGATAAGAACATAGGGACTTAATGGCAGGCCAGGACCTAATGGTGGTTGTGACCCTATGTTGACTTCTTGAGCACGTTCTTTGATATGGGGATGGGTCTAATGGGTAGTCATAAGTCAGAGCTGTCTTCTTTTGTTACAGGAATGGAGCTTAACTGAAGGTCAATCTTGGTGAACAAATAGCAGCAGAAACTTTCTCAGTATCCCTGAACATCAGTTATGGTACAGAATTTTCTTTCTCACAATTTCTACAAGCCAGTTAGTATACTTACTTATCTTCTGGTTGTGTTGGAGGCAGTGATCCTTTAGTTAAATTCTACTTTGTGTAACTTAATATTTCCCAAGCAAGCTTATTAGTGAATCCTTTATAGCATAAATTTTACTTCTTTGAATTTCTCCTGCATTAATATTATATATATATATCATACACATCACACATACACATCATACACATCACATATACATATCACATGCATCACACATACACATCACATATATCATAAATATACATCACACACATCATATACATGTCTCACACATATAATTACATGCACACATTGCATATACACATATCATATGTATGCATTGTACACATATTGCACATACATCCGCACATCCACAAACACAGTGAAAAGAATCTGCGAGCATAATATACCTAGAGGGTGGTATTGATCATGCAAACTGTCCCAGAGAAAAGTTCCATCTGGTAAACCATATAAAATAACATGGCTGCCATTGGGCAGATGGGAATTCAGATGCTTCAGAGTTTGCATGACGTTGGAGTACATTTGTTCAGGAGTGGTCATTTCCGGTACTGTGTCAGCTCTCCTGTGGTGGAAGAAAGAAAGTGCCTTGATTAGCAGGACAGTCACATACAAACACACTGTATGTGCTGGTTATTGGTACTATTTTGCAAATTGCTTATGACTTCCTACCTTTCTGGCACATAGTCAGGCTGCATTTACTGACTCCTTGTAGTTGAATAGGCCATGTAACTGGTGGGATAAGAGCCTTTGTAATGTTCTTTGACCGTATTGCTGGTATGAGCAGCGTTCCAGATAGTTATGTCATGTGTTTGAGTCTGGAGAGAGAGAGAGAGAGAGAGAGAGAGAGAGAGAGAGAGAGAGAGAGAGAGAGAGAGAGAGAGAGCCATGTTCCTGAAGAACATGCAGTGTGAGCAAGAAGGAGGGAAATTTTGTGGCTTTAAACTACTAAGAGTTTAGGGCTTTTTCTTTTGTTTGTTTGTTTGTTTTTCTGTTTTGGAACATAAGCTCATCTATCCTGACTCATGGCTACTGAAGAGGGTCTGATATTGCTTAAGATTTATTTGGAGCTTTGGGAATTAACATTAGTTTTAAAAAATGCACATAGACCACAAGACAGAGCATCTCTGAGGCATGATGTTATTTTATGTGTACACACCCTCTTGCCCTTTATCTTCAGTTTCTATACTGAATTTAGGCTTTCATCATTATTCTGATAGGCTGCTATGGTCTGCTTTATTCATACCACATCTTTCTCTGTTTAGTAGTTGTGCTCTGTAGAGCATATAAAAACATCAGAGAAATCTCAAATAAATAATTTAATGATTGTCTAAGGGTTTTATTGTTGTGATGAGACACCATGACCACAGCAACCCTTATGAAGGAAAACATTTAATTGGGGCTGGCTTATAGTCCATTATCATCATGGTGGGAAGCATGATGGCACACAAACATACATGGTGTTGGAGAGGTAGCTGAGAGCTCTACATCTGGATCTGTAGGCAGCAGGAAGAGACTGTCACACTGGGCATGGCTTTGAGCATCTGAGACTTCAAAATCCAGCCTCTAGTGACACACTTCCACCAACAAAGCCACACCTACAACAACAAGGTCACACTTCCTAATAATGTCACTCCCTATGGGCTAAGCATTCAAACACATGAGCCTACAGGGGCCATTTCTATTCAAACCATCACAATAATGTACCTTAAGGCTTTGGAAAAAGAAAATAAGCCAAACCCAAATGCAGTAGATGGACAAAAATACTAGATCACAATAGAAATAGATGAAATATAAACAAACAAACAAAACTACAAAGAATCACTGAAGCAGAGATTTGGTTCTTTCAAAAAATTAACAAGATCAAGAAACCTGTAGCCAAACTAACTGAAACAAAGAAAAAGGAGACCTAAATTAATAAAGTAGAGATGGAAGGAAAACTATTATAATGGATACCAATGAAATCCAGAAAATCATGAGGATACAAACCTGAAGATTATATTCTACTAAATTGAAAAATCTAAAAGAAGTGGATAGATATCTAGATACATATGACCTATCAAAGTTAAACCAAGATGAGGCAAATGAGTTAAACAGATCTACAACCAATAATATCGTACCAGTAGCAGGAAACCACTCAACAAAGAAAAGTCCGAGACCCTTAAGGAAGATCACACATCAAAGCTTCTCAAATTATTCCATAAAACAGTAAAGGACGACACTTCCAAGCTATTTTTATGAATCCATTACATCTTAGATAAGGCTGCACCCTAAAGAAAGAAAAATTACAGCCCAATCTCCATGATTTACAAAGATGGAAATATTCTCAACAAAGCACTTGAAAACCAAATTCAAGAACACATTAAAAATGTGATCACCATGCTCAAGTTAGCTTCATTCCAGAGATGCAGGGATGGCTTGACATATGAAAATCAATAATTGTAATAATTGCACAACTTATGTTGGCCCAAGCTTTGAGGTTCTATTTCATCCCAGTTAGAATGTACTAATCAAGGATACAAATGACAACAGCCACTGGTAAAGATGTGGGAAGGAGCTGTTGTTCACTTTCTGTGGGAATGTAAACAGCTCTGGCTACTGTGGAAATTGATATGGAGATTTCTCAAAAAAAATCAAACATAAGACTGCTGTGAAATAATCTTTTTGTCCACTGTGAAGATGTGTCATTCTGATTGGTTTGATACAAAGCTGAATGGCCAATAGCTAGGCAGGATTTTCAGGCACATAGGATGCTGGGAAGAAGAAGAAGAAGAAGAAGAAGGGCAATGCCATGAGATGGAGAGCAACCAGTATGGGCACTATGGAGATGAGGTAATAAAGCTATGAGGCAGAAAGTAAATTAATAGAAATGGGTTAATTTAATGTATAAGAGGTAGTTAGAAACAAGCCTAAGCTATTGGCTGAGTTTCATAATTAATAATGTCTCCATGTCATGATTTGGGAGCCGGCTGATGGGACAGAGAAAGATTATGTACATAGAACTACCATAAGGTCCAACTATACCATTTCTGGGTATGCACTCTGTATCCTACCACAGGGATATTTGTACATCTATGTCTATTGATGCTCTTTTCATAATAGCAAGGGAATAGAATGAGCTTAAATGCCCACTAGCTGAGAAATGAAAAATGTGCTGCATGTACACAATGAGATTTTACTGACCATCCAAAGTTTCTGCTGCTGTAGCTCACGCACATTTGCTCTGTTTCAGGAGTGTTGAACTTTTGTGTTACATTAAAGAGTTTAAGGACAGTGATGGGTAAGTCTAAGACCACTGAGTCACTTTAAGTGGAAATGCTAGGTGCCTCCACATTGCCTTTCTTTCAGAATTTCTGATGCTAAAAGTTGTCTTCCAGTCATGACCTTCATTCACTTACAAGTACTTACTAAATAGCCACATGTAGTTAGAGAACTGAGAAAGACATGTGGCTGCATTATTTTGGTAAGAGCTAGCAACATCATTTTTAAAAAGCTGAAGGTGTAAAGAAATAGACAAATCAAATTCCTAAAACTTGTTCCTGGACAGACCTGTTTTGCAACCCTCTGGCTTTGGCTTTGTATGGAACCCTTTGCCTATTATGGGATATCTACTCCACCTTGATGTTTTGCCATCTGTCTTTATTTTTCTAACCTTTCCACAGGACATCACAAAATGGGCACTGCAGGAACATCCCACACTGCCAACTCTGTTCCTTCATCCAAATGCTTGCTGCTTCTCTGCCCAGATAGATCCCTGGGCAGGGGAGAGGCTGGCATGGGCCTCTAGCTGATGTGTCTAATTTTTTGGCTCTTTGGAAAAAGGAAAGCAGGACTGGGTTGGAAGGACCTCTGGAGGGGGGCATTCTCAGTGATTCTGATTTTTGGAGGTAAAGCTTTTCTTCAGGCACTCTATCCAATTGTAAACTGTTTGCTCTCTGTACCCAGGGGAACCTGACCCAGGAGGGACATTATCTGGCTGGACCAGAGCTTGTTCTCTTTTGCAGTGGAGGCTGGAAGCCATATCTCTGTTTCTCTGTTGTGAGCTCCCTGTGGTCAGGGATTCAGGCCTTTTTTCCATTGGATCCCAGAACCTGACTTAGTAGTTGGCTCATTGGTGGTGCTCAACATGTGGCTTAAGAAAGTGAATGAAAAACAGAACATAAGGAAGACCAGAGTGAGCCAGGGAAAGAAGATGGAATTGAATTAGAGATCCTGCAGCTCCTAGCTTTGCTACTCAATGGCAGTAGAACAAATTTCTTTACTTTGTGAGCCTCAGTTTCCTCACCTGTAACAAGCAAAGAGTCATACTTGCCTCCTTGGGTTGCTATAGAGATGAAACAATACAGAGAGGAGCACAGATACTAGACCAATAATAGCAGGTCTAAAGGGGTATACACTCTACTGCAAAGTCCTGGGTGGCTTACCAAGGAGACAGAGACCTGAGTCCTCAAAAGGTAGCTTTGTGATCCTGGAGGGACCTAGGTATGGACTGGCCCATGAGCAACAATGGATCGTAGAGTGGCATGTCCCCCCTTGAACTGATGTGTCTACACTTCATTTAGAATTCTACAGAACCAAATGAATTTCAATCCTATTGGACGTTGTTCTCAACATGGGCTTGGGAGGGCCAGTGAATGGGTAGGACAAGGGGAAGGTCTGTGAGTAGGGAGACCACCAGCTGGCCATTAGTCAGTTATGCTACATTGAGCAAATATTATACACCTTCTTGGCTTGTTTTTCCTGTTTTCCTAAAATGCTGGGCAGATGGCCACCAGAGCTGCTTCAGATTCTATCTCACCTTTTGTTTACTTTTTAGCCACAACCACAGGCCAAATGTCCACATGCAGCATATTTTTAGGGGTCTACATAGATTTTGATACAACTCTTCAAATGTTGAGAGAGATTAATGCTAATGCTGTAGTTTAGCAAAAACCCTTTTTACTGTGGACCATCAGAATAAACAGGATTGAATGTGAGTTACACATTGTTTCTTGGCAAATGCAAGTCTATGCTGTTTTTCTGCTTAATAATGTCAGAATATGAGGGTAGCATGTGTTCTTATGGGATGACTGTGCTGCTGCTGTATGCTATTCTAATGTTGTGGATTCTAAGTCTTGGATCTTGCTGAAGTCTATTTCCTGTGCTATAATCCACAATAGATCCTGGCATACCTTGTTGTGATGTCAGAATTGAGAGCTATTGGATTGGATTCGGTTCTTTTCAAAGGGAGCTTTCAGTTTCGCAGGTTGTTCCTGTTGATTTCACATACTCAGGCTTTCCTTCAGAGATAAACTTATTTGACATCTGCACACTATAGCAGAGTGGACTGGGGTAGGGAATGGAAGAGGGGGTAGGGAGCCAGAGCCAAATCCCAAGCGAATAGGCCCATTACCATCTTATTAGCATTGTGTGCATCTTTCTCAATGACTTACTCATTGCAGACATCATTTCCAATCATGGCATAAATTACGATGGCTGGTTGGTCCAATGCCTGGTTCCTAGACAAGCTGAGAAAACATGGAGTCTGAGCATCACTGTCATCGGCAACACAGGCTAAGCCTGGGGGAATATCTTTGTGTAACTACCCACCAAAACCCAACCAGCTTTTCTGGTCTTATTTCATTCTGGTCAGCACTCCCATTCTCCTCTACAATCTCAATTCAATTTCCCATTAGGAAATGACATATCAATGCATAATATTGAAGAGTAGGTTGAAATTTCAACTAAACAGACTCACTGTCATCTTAACATCCTTCAAAATACTATTACCAGTAAGGATAGGTGAGTTAGTTGAGCTACTTATGCCCAGTCACTGGACATCCTCAGAGCTGTGGGGCCTACTTAATTCACATAGGTAAGGGCTTCCTGAGGCTTCTGTTCAGGATACTACATACAGCCTCACTTCTGAATTTTAATCCCCAAATAGACACAAAAATATTAACTTGCTGTGCATAGCATCTCAGCAAGGGAGGCGAGGGCAGGAAGATTACATAAGTCTGAGATGAGTGTGGGTAACATAGTATGAGGCTCTGTATCAAAAACAGAAACAAAAAACCCTCACAAAATAGGTTTCTTTTTTATAAAGCCAGACTATGATATAATCATTATGTTTTTGCAGCTACTTTTTTCAGAGCTAAATTTTATTCATTTCATATTCATTTTATAATCTTTTGAGAACATACATGAATGAATCATTTTCCAAGGTTACTGGCCCAGGAAGAGGATGCCCAGTAACTAACAAACTATTGATACTCAGTAGAAATGATAATGGGGTAATAAACAAGAATTTTCATTCCTTTCAAGGTAAGTTAACCATATTTAAAACAGTTGCTTAGATCTGTCTTCCACTTACCTTTCTATGAAGTTCTTCAGATTACTGGAAGATGCACCTGAATAATTACAATTAAGAAAATAATTGTTTAAGTGACAACACTGGTGTGATCATCTGGTTGGCTGAGTTCACATTGGTGATATCATTGTTCAGCCATCAGAGGCTGTCCAGACACATTGCTGATGGCGATTGCTCGTTTCTGGTGATTTTTCTGTGGTGTTTTATCTTGGATCTTACCTTCAGGGGTTTTCTACTTACTTGGCATTGTACTAACATAACCCAATGCCCTTTGGATTGGTGGGTTGCCATAGATGAGTAAATGATTTAATAGATATAAGGAAAAAGTGTGTACCTGTCCCCAAAGAGACAAAGTATCCCCAAAACTAAGGATCAGAGAGACAGAGAAAATGGTTCTCTAGGAGAGACATCTTCCTGGAGACCCCCATTTAAGGTCCTAGTGTTCAGAACAGTGAGTCCTGAAGGTAGCCTCTCTCTGAATAGTCAGTTGCTCTCTGATTTCTTCTAGAGGGAGAAAATGTACAGCCTTGAGCCTGCCCTGTGCTGCTGATGTCCTACAGTGGCTCACATACCTGCTGGTCCTTTCATTCAGTTCTAACCTAGGGTCCATAATCTCTCATTTTTAGAATAATAACAAATCAAGAAGTGTTACTACTGTTGTTCTTTGATATTTTTCTTCATGATAAATAAAAACCAACACCAGCTCCAACTTTTGTTGTCCTAAAATTATAGGACTGGGTCTAGCCAACCTCAAGTCCATCTGGGATTTTGATGTGCAGGGCACCCACAGAGTTTCAGAAAACAAGAGTGAAAAGTTGTCATAGCTTATTAGATGGGTTGTCTCTCCTCATAGGCAATACCTCCTATGTCTCTCTTGACTCTTCTAGACAAGGATCAAAGACCAGTTGTAAGTAATTGTAGTGGATTTAAAAGGGCAGCCACAGCTGGGGGTGGTGGTCACTTGTAAATACACCAGCATCCCGGAGGCAGAAGATGAGAGCTCAAGGTCATCCTGGCCTATATGGGAAGATCCTGTCTCAGACAACAAACAAGCAAAACATGATACAAAAAGTCACCACAAACAGGAAACAAAAAACTACTTGTTCTTTACCTAATGTTTTTCTTGTACCGAATTCTCTCTGCTCCAAAGTCCTTGCATTTTTCATCCTTTTCATTCCCTTGTGGAAATCTCAGTTTTATAAAGTTTGCTAAGTAGTTTATGTTTCTCACACTCTATTCTTTCATATTCTCCTTTCTTTAATTTCTGCTATTCTTTTGCCAGACTCAGCACCACAGCTTCCTCCTTTACAGTCTCTATTGTCCTCTTCTGTAGGTGTCTCCTCAGTTTCTGCATGCTGATGTATCCGCTACTGGGGAAACTACTGCAGCAATGGCAGCTGGCAGGGAACAAGCAACAAAGACAGAGCCTTGCCTATGGGACATGGTAGAGCAAGGCAGATATTGGAAGAATTCACATATTTTGCACTTAGCAATTTCCGTTTCACAGAAATGAAAAAATTTGACTCTGGAATAGAGGACTTTCATTATTTATTAAGGTGGTCCAATGGAGAGCCTACATGTCCCCAGTTAGGAATAGAAGAGTCAATACAGACCTTTAAAGGCTGAACTGTGATGTCCTTTAAATAGGGTGTATCTATCACAAGAAGAGAAGGTCTCATGACCTCAGCATCTGTTAGCTCTCCCTGACTGAATTTTAACACATGGTCCCACTACTGGGTTGGTGTTGACCATACCATCAAGTACCTCACGTTCTATGTATTCTTTCAACTTGGAAACTAATTTTAATGGTCTTCTAGGTGAACCTGTTGCTTTTAGTGCCCATCAGTAGGTCCCATATTCTTCGTGGAAAGAGAAGGAGAATATTTAAATGTAGAATAAGTTTTCACAAATTAGATCATTACTTCAGCAAACATATTGAGTGTTTACTGTGTTAGGTGTTGTAATTGGTTCTGGGTGTAGATCAGGGAATAGAAAATATATAGTCCTGCACTTTGGAAGCCTAATGTTACTAAACAAGCCATAGTCACAAAGTGTTGGGGATTTAGAAAGTCCTGAGGGCTAGTATCAACATGAATCCCAGGAACCTTAGCTATTTCCTTTACTGAGGTCTTAAAATAGGAAAGTATTAATTGGTCCACAATGCTTTGTGTATAGTGCTCAGCTCAAACAGTTCAGCAAAGTGCTATAATAGTTGTGGCTATCTTCAGTGGACAGAGCAGATCTGGGTTTCTTGAGTTCTAGAGTTTAACTACCTTTGGAGACTCTCCCCTAGGGAAATAACAAACATAAAACAGATCCAGATGTTAGGCAGAAAATACAGCACAGGGACAGAAGTCAAGACCAACTGTGGGTAAAACACTGATATCTTGCAACTTTTACATATAAGCATGGTTAGAGATCAAGTGAGGAGATCCTAAGGTTCAGCAGCATTGGCTTCAAAATCCCCCTTTTGGCACCCTTCAGGTCATGTCACTAGCTCTTGGTCAGGCAGCCAAATTCATAGATGAGGCCCAGAAATAGGAAGAGAAATGCTTCTGATCTCTAGCGAGCATTGGCATCATTGTAATGTTTGTTAGTTATAAAGAGCACTGATTTGGTTCTTGTGAGAGAATTGGTGGGGAGGGTTAGGTTTAGCAACCATAAATTCACTCAAACAAAACACGCAGTGTCTCAGAGCCATGTGCTGGACTTCAAGCTCAGATGCCTGCAGAGCCTAAAGGTGCAGTGTTGCTGAAACCAAACCATGGAGAGCAGCCATTGCTCAGCCCTGATGACTTCCTGTGGTCCAGGAGGGGTGTCCATGTCGTCAGACTTGTCTTCAAAAATGGAAATTGGAAACATGAGACTTTTTGCCAAAAAATCTCCTGATTTTTAGACATTGGCAATGAATCCAATAATTGTAAAAGATTGCTTCATTTCATCATACAAACCCCACACAGGTCAGGTTTTAAAATGATTTGATTATTGAGAGACCCACAGGGAAACACTGTAGGTCAAGGACAAAGTGTTGGGTCTGGAGAGATGGCTCAGTGGTTAAGAGCACTGGCTGCTCTTCCAGAGGACCTAGGTTTGGTTCCCAGCTCCCACACAGCAGTTCATAACCATCTGTAACTCCAGTTTTAGGGGATCTGATGCCTCTTCTGGCCTCTACAGGCACCAGGCACACCTGGTGCACAGACACATATATGAACAAATACACTCACACACAAAATAAAAATAAACAAATCCTTAAAAAAACCAACAAAGTGCCACAAGAACACAGTATTTCTCCGATTTCATGTGATGGTATACCTTTTTCATGTGTGTAGAAACATATGGATTATCATTTCTAGAGAGTTTTTATAATTTTTGCCCATTTTTGTTTGGGCTTATATATAATATATTATATATACATATATATGTGGAAATATGTATGTACAGTATGCACACATATACATATGTGGTGGTTTAAAAGAATATGGCCCCCAAAGTAAGAGGCATTATTAGAAGGTGTGTCCTTGTTGGAGTAGGCATGGTCTTGTTGGAGGAAGTGTGTCACTGTGGAGTTAGGCTTTGAGGTGTCATATATGTTCAAGTCACTCCCAGTGAGACAGTTCATTTCCTGTAGCCTTTGGATCAAGATGTAGGAATCTCAGCTCCAGCACCATATCTGTCTGCATATCACCTATTCTCTGCCTAATTGCCTTGAGACAGGGTGTCCCATTGAACTGGAAGTTGGCCATTTTGACTCATCTGCCTGGCCAACAAGCTCATAGGATCCACCTGTCTCTTCCCTGAATGCTAGGGTTACAGGCACAAGCAATCATGTCTAGCTCTTTACACAGGTGCTTGGGTTTTGAACACAGGCATTTATGTTTGCAGCACAAACCCTCTGACCTACTGAAACACCTCCTCAGCCCCTCCCTGCTCTTTACAATGTCCATTACTGAAAGCATAGTGCAGATTTTCTGAGCCTACCTTAAGCCATGGCTGCTGCCATCTGCTGACTTTGCTCCTTGTCACTGCAAAGTGGGAGCTCCCCAAATCATCCAGTTGCTCTGGGATGGACTCTGGTCTTTCCCTCCTGTTTTGTGAGGTTCCATATTTCTATTTGCTTTTAAAGCTAGAGATATTCGGGGACCATCCACCTCTTATGATAGTGTTATCCAGTTTCCTCCAGTTTATTTCACAGGTATTCTAGTAGACCATACTTGCATATCATCTGACATCTTCCTCTCTCCACATAGACTAGATTTCAAATGATGTAGATTTTTCTTATAGTTTTATAATCCATCAAGCATTTTCAGAAGAAATATTTGTTGGGAAAAAATGAGAATTTTACATTTCTTCTCTTCTAAAAACTTTTTTTTTCAACAAACAGAAGTCTGGAGACTAAGACATTGATCTTGAGCCCCACATCCCAGGCATTTAACAATGATTTGTTGTGACAGTTCCAGACAGTGTTCCTACTACTAGGAATGCTTCACATTACAAATGTTTCAGTCACAAACAAGACAAATTCCCTCAAAATATTTGCATAGGGTAGAATATATTTCCAACTGGGATTGTAATCTACATCTCAGGGACCCATCTTCAGGAGCACCTTCCACCTGTGTTGATAGAAGGAGAGCTCTGTTTCTCCCCAAAGCCATTTGCCTTCAGCCCCATCCACCCTACTCACCATCTCCTTGCACCTTTTGGATATTGCTCAAATCTTAACTTTGCTGTGAAATCTTCTACTTCTTCAGAGTTAGTGTCTCTCACCCCCAGAGGCTGCAACTTACTTTTGCCCCAGTGACATTCTGACAGAACTGTGATTCCTTTCTTGTTTGCCTTTTTTCCATCTGGTCAGGATCTCCATGAAGGTGGGGCCTCTACCTTGCTCGTCTTTCTATTTCTAGAACCTACTGTAGTATTGAACAGGAAGAAAATGAAGACGAGAAAGCACACCCATGCTTACATAAACCCCAAGAGCATTTAAGCTGTCTATAGACATAGCAGATAGCTTTCCATTTGATGTCTTTTATCTAAAGCCATAAA